ATGAATTATAATACAGGATTTTGTTGACTGTGGGGTATGCGATAGACTTACCTCCTCGTGGTGCACCCTGGGCAACGTATACTCATGCGGCAAAAAAGTCTATTAACCGGGAGTTGACTTCTGACTTCAAACTGCCATGATCCCACTGTATGTCATATTCGACTACTTTCACAGTACTCACCTCACCTCTTTTCTACCTTTCTACCTTCATCTTTGAAACACTCTTCCGTTTCCTCCCCACCCCCTCTCTACTTTCTTTCACTTTGATGTTCCTTCCCCTCTGTGAAGCCCGAAGTCAACTAAAGGGCTAATGTTAACCATCAAGACGCCTGCCATTTGATATAAATAAATCAATTTTGTTGACTGTTTCCTATTTGGCTTAGTTATACCATATGCGGTCGAACTAACTGGTATAATACATGAAACATTTACTTTGACCCTTATAAGATATTTAGTCTGATAATGCTAATCTTATAAGTAGACATTTATTATCTGAGTCATACAACTACCTTGCCGCTTGGTATTGGATTTGATCTCACAGTGAAGAGAAAACTGAGCTGTTCGTTGGAATTTGCAGAATGTGATAATTTAGACAACGGATCACCAGATAACTGACGTTTAGTTCATCATGCCATGACTTCTCAAAGTAATTATGTAGAAGCGACATCATGATGCCTTGAAATCGTATTCCATGCATATCAGTGTTTTCCTTTACGCTTATATAGCCAACAGATAGTTTTTAATATCGACTTACCAATCTAATTTTTTCACCAGTACTTGTAAAACAGAATACAATAAAGGCATCTTAGCGATTCATAATTAATTTTCATCAGTTTAAGAAGATCCAAATAACGCTAAATATCTTAAGAAACACTTGGACCCAACCTCAGGAAAGTTAGAGTATTATTACCCTTCATTCTTAAATAAATGGCGCATTCAACCTCGGATGATATCTACACCTAGAAACAAAGTAAAATCAATAAAAACCTGACGCACAACAGCTATAAAGCAAGACTTATACGTCAGGTTTAAAAGATAAATGTCAAAGAGGGATTCGATCTAATTAATGGTGCTTTGTTAGTTCTCTCGAGACCACAATTGCGTGCAAACATAACTCTTATATGAGCAATCATTCAAAGCGTTGTAACTGTGCGGAACAGCGGTATAAACACTAGCCGCGCCGTTTACAGTACAACTTAATCTAAGCGACGAATTGTAAATACAGCGCAAGCACACTGTTTATTTCCAAAAGATTAGATTTATAGGCCTTGTGAGATATATATGTCTTCAAAATTTAGCGGAAATGTTAAAGCTGAAATTATTAGTTACCTATAAGTTTGCTGGGTTCAGTTAATGGTTGCCCGATACGAATACGAGCATGTTCACTTTATAGTCTGCAGAAAAGAACTGTCCATCAGATGCTATCACTTTCTATTTTAGTAGATAGGACAAACGAAGACTTAAAAATATCAAATAGCAATTACTGAACTTGGACAGTATAAGAGGGTTTTCTGGTTATTTTAACACTACAGACTTATTAGGTATTGTAACACTTACTAGGATTGACCACTCTGAAATGTTTAATTAACGGAGCTTCGGTTGGCCCTGATGGAATAACTTAACATCTTACATCGCCCTAGATGCACGGGCTTGATGGTGTCTAAATGGCAAGAATGTGGGCATTGCAGTAATTTTTGATGAATGAGCTTCAAAAATACAATTAGTACGTTGAAAAGTCAAGAAATAAACCCATTCTTATATTTATGAATGACCTAACACAGCGGGCAGCTTATCCACTCCAAACAAAGGTAAAACCATATGTATCGAAACTACTACTATTGATAGCTATTATTATGCGCTAGTACACAAAGCAAAGAGGACATTCTATTGTACAAAATGAAAAAAGGAGGCACATTGGAAGCACAGTGTAATTTTGTTGGAGTGGGGGTGGGGGGGGGGGGGGGGGGGGGGGAGTGTACGTATTTCTATACACCGGGACGAACAGTAGGTTAAAAGCTACGAACCTTCTCGAAAGGCACAATGAACCAGGCCGCACGCTTGCCTGAAAGGAAAAAAAGAAAAGCATAGCTTAAAATGTTCTTCTTCAAAATTGTGCTTTAATATTCACAGGCTAATATCTGGTAGAAAAACACTGATTATACTGAATTAATTCTTCCCCCTTTCAATGCATAAGACTGAAAATACATAATTCCCATATAAATCAAAAATATTTGTTTTGTCAGGCTTTTATAAACCAAAATGAATACATTAGAACGGGCTAATGGCTACCAAATTCCTCTGCATTCCTACAAATGCTAGAGATTTTTGGGAGAGTATGGGCTAGATTGTAATCATATTTTGGATAAGGTGTATAAAGTAAACAAAAATTACACATTATTAAAAAATCACAAATTGAAATAGTATTACGAATGAAATCAACACTACTGAAGTACGAATAAACCAATACACCACGAATTCGCATAATTAACAAAATTTCAATAAGTTGAAAGAGTTTAGGTTTACTCGTTAAAACGATTTTAATAGAAGTAGTAAGTCAAAAGAGAAATAAACGCTTACTTCAGGACAGTTTCATCGAAGTAGCCTAGCTTCATAGGCCAATTGGAGACAATGAAAATTTAGCAAGAAGGGAATTTCAGGAATAGTTGGTAAAGCTTTAGTAATTTGTCACATTAGCATTCAATTAAGAAATTAAATCGAATACACTAAGAGCCTTTTCTGTGCTCTCATAGTTATATCCCCCCCCCCCCACCCCCCACCCAAGCGCTGAGGTGTCGATTTTGTTGAACAGGAAAGGGAGAACATCTGGAGGCCAAGATAACTTCCTCGGCCTTTTAGATGAGCCTATTGCAGCGATCAGGTTTCAATAGTAGTGCCATTTTAAAGCCACGTCAATGATTGTGAGAAAGAAATCTAAGCAAACCGAGGTGGATATATGCAACACTTGTTTGTATTTTAAGCTTTGTAATTCCATCTTCCTTTGACAACACTTTCTACAAAGCGCATGAACCACAAGCAGGCGAAATAAAAAGGATTACACTTCCGCTCTATATGTTCGCATTCAACCCACAAAATGTTATGCTTTGATTTATAAGAACAAGATCACTATCGATTTTCCACGTGAAACGTAGTGCTGTTTTGCTCTTCACTCACTATTAGTGGTAGCAAATGAGAGTGCCATTGATACTGTATACTCTTGTGAAGAGGTATGAGTAAACAGAAGCACCGCACAAAGACTTCGCTTTACTCACTATTTTGTGCATCAAAGCATACGACCTTGAATATACTACAGTGACTTTTGTTAGCCACCTTTGATTCGGTTAAATGTACCATAGTTCGAACTTTGTTGCACTTTACTCCAGGACGTTTAAAAATACTTCGTTATGAGTGAGTTAACAGGATAACTCGAACTGATGCAAGCCTATGTGAGTAAGACTGGCATTTCTCTGTCATCGAATACGTCTAATTTGTTTGTCTAATAAGTAGCGATTGACACAATAGAATATGATCTGCTCCAATGAGGACGCGTTCCATTCGAGACTTGAGGTTTTGTAAGTATTCTCACTAGGATGTACTAATTACGGAATTCACTAACACATAGATCCATAAAATGCAGCATGATTCGTTGGGAATATATCAATTTTAACAATCTCTAAACAATACCTAAATTTTAACAAAAAATATTATGCGGCTCTATAAGCAAGACAAAGACAAATTGTCTATGGTAAATAGTTATGATAAACAACCTCACCTTTGAGTTAATCTAAATCAGCTCCAAGCTTAAGTAAGAATGGCACCAATCAGTTTGATTAAAAAAAACAAAAAAAATACCGAAAAAGCGTTCCAAGCAAATGATAACACAAAGGCAGGCATCAAAGTCATGCAATTGATAGTAGAAAATATAATGTAAGAACAAATCACAGTGACCTTAATAAGTGCAAATTTGTCTCCAATACAAATTACTCTATAAGGAAGCGTAATAGACTAATCACCCGAAAAGGACGTGTTAAGGCCAATTATCACTTAGAAAAAGGACATCTGCTGGTGACAAATTTGCTGAGACACATTCAAACAACTATTCAGACATTTTTAACTAAATACGTTTTGCAGTTCAACGAAACACATCAACTTACCAATTTGCAGAATACTAAATCCAGTGGCAAGATCAGCCGCCTTCCAGGCTTCTTCAATTACTCCGGGCTCAAGAGCCGCAAGTTTCTTCCTCAAGCATGATCTCTCTTTGCAGTCCTTACAGGACTCTTTCATAGGTACCGCATAGGGAGACGGCTTCAGCAGGCAGTGTCCATTCAGCGTTAGACCCCTCTCCTCCACTGAGAGACCAATTCCACGATCAATACCACTGGAGAGGGCTGACTTGAGCACCTCATGGAGACGATCGATTGGTGATGCATCAAAGGGCACCTTGTCGTGAATGACTGGTAGGGGACCATCTGTAGGTGCTGAGTAATGAGCCAAACAGGTTACAAGGAAATTGCGTTCAGTGGGAGTTAGGCCCTCGGAGAGGGCAAGCATGGGATGCTGGTGAGTGGTGTTGACGGAACTTGAAGCGTAAAGAACGCGAGATGCCAGTTCACTGGCTTGAAGGCAACCGGCTGAAGGGGATAAAAGATAAAGTTAATGCAAGGGCGTATTTTACGACTTGAAATTGCAATTCTGAAACTAGACAACTTCAAGAGTAATAAAGAATCCGATGCACTTCTATCCATAGAGAGAGCAATAAATGTCAAGACAATAAAAATGCTAGATTTAATGAGTGTGTGCCTTGGAATTTTATAGTACAGCAAGTTTGTTCACCATTCAAGGGAAATTTACAAATTTATAATTGTAATAAAATGCACATGGTCGATAAAGTGAAGGCCTGCTACACACGAAAGATGGGAGACGGTTGAAAAGTGCAAGTTATCATATTGCGAGGGAGGCAGTATTCGCAAATACCACAAGTAAGGAGGGAAGAGAAGATCTCAAGAAAATGCACCTATTTACGTATCTACCGGACCATATAAAAAAGCGTCAGGTCGTAACTACGTGAACCATTTCTAAATGATCGCGCTGTGTCAATAACGTCAAGTGGTGTGTATGTGTGTGAATAAGTGTTTTCTAGGCTAAATAGAAATCGAGGAGAAAAGAATAAAACTGCCCATTAATTATTTTGAGTGCTCGTCGACTCGTAAATGGCGAGACTGTCCAAATGTCATTAGAAAAGCTTACTGATTAAATAAAATTGCTAGTCAAAATAGCAATTAGAAGTAACTCCGGTGGACACCGCACTTGTCACGCATTAATGAAATTAAGGCAAACTTTTGAGAAATACATCAGATCAATCAATAGGAAAACCGCTGACTAGTTTTAAGCAGCTCAAGTTTTCAAAATAGATCTGAATAATGGGGAAAATTTAAAAATTCCAAAGCGAAATCTAAACTTTCCCGAATTTGGGATATTAAGGCTGTGCAAATAATGTAACGCCAGTCATAGTGAGTAATACAAATAACCAACCTCCATGAACAAGGAGAGTGACTTCTTGAGCTATAGCACGCTGAGCAGGACGACGTGATGGATTGTTCTGAAAGGGGGAAAAAGAGAGTACATACCCATGCGAATAAACCAAGGCATGGAGCCTAAAATTATTACTTCTCACACTTCAAAAGACAAGCTATAATGAGAGAGAGCTTCTAGAAATTAGGTAATTTAGACCAAACATTTATGGAGACCATCGATCGATATCAGACAAAAAAACACGAATAAGTCTTCCAGACATGAATTAACACTTAACAACACTTGCAGATACGTATGCTTACATATTTCGTAAATGGTACAAATTGGAATAGTTTGTGCTTCTGTCGTAATGAAGTAATTTTATAAATATTGAGTGAAAGTGCAATTCAAGAGTGTGATTAGAAACAAACCAACCTTCTGTTCAGTCAGTATGGCGTCAATCTCTTCTGTTGAGAAGAAAGTTAGACATTTAATGAATGTAGGTGACATAAATTTGTCGGGAAGATTGAGTAACTTCTGATAGAAGTGGAAGGGACGGAGTTTAGCAGGATTCAGCCATATCACATCGTCCGGATTGTTGGAAGTAGTCTTCCCAACTTTGGTACCGTCTGGAGCCAAGAGCAATGGGACAGTCAGACCTGAATTTATAAAACAAAGCAAAATCAATTACTCTATTTCGAAAGAAATTTCCTATATCACTCAAGTAGATGATTCCAAGTTATCAATGGCAGAGAATCAACACTTTAAAAGGCATTTCTGTCAAGTTAGTTGTGACCGCTTCGATACTCATTGACTCAAGCACGTTAATTAGAATCGTCAATAACTCGGCTTAGCATTAAACAATTCAAACTGAACCAGTCAATCTTAATCAGTGGTATTATAACGCTTTTGCTATGCCCAAAGCATTCCCCATAAACAAGCTTGAATCTGAAAAAATTTAGAATCGTTTATTCAGAAGTGACGTAGAATGCCCTATACTTACAATGACCATTACGAGACCAGATACAGAATACGTTCAACGCCGTCTAAGAATTAGTTTAACTTGGAATAGAATGGCCCAGTATCTAATCCGCAAAACTATGTTTTTGTTGCCCTATCGAACAGAGAGAATCCGAAGATCAGATAAATGGCGAAAGTGTTTGTATGAACTACTTGGGGGCGAGCATAATGGTGACTAAGAGTCAATTAAAAGGAAAATCGATGAGGTCGTCCAGACGGGACAGTCAAGAAACAAAAATTGGCAAAATTTGACGTGTTTCTAACAAAAATGTGAATAAAGAATACTTTTCTGAACAAAAAACAACTATTTCGATCATAAGCATGACAATGACGTACTATTATACATTTGGCCAAATGCCTCAAACGACGATAGTTCAAAGGATTATAAATAAGGTATATGCTAAGAAAGTACAGTTAGGATACCTGATTGCCAGCAGTATGGAAGTCCATGACTGAGCCTTCATGAAAACACCTACTACTTATTTTGGCCATGCAAGTTTTTCATAAGGGAAGTTACAAAAATGTATTTCAATAAGGCATCGATGTTTTCAATAACAGCAAATATATATATATATATATATATATATATATATATATATATATATATATATATCCAACACAAATGCGTAGCTTACCGAAAGCACTTTCCGCAAGTTTGCGCCTAATGAGAGCGATTCCAGTATCAATATTCCCAATTTGGTCATTACCACCGAGCTAAGAGGAAACAAATAGATGCATAATCCCATCACTCACTTGAACATTACAAGAGTGGCATTGATACAGATAAGCGAAATCATAAGCTTGTAGCATTGGATACAAAAATTCATGCATACTCATTCCACTGCCAGAAGCTTCACGAGTTTTTACGCTAAAATGAAGGGAATAAAGAAGAAAAATTAGCCGAAAACCTTTCTTTGTGAGCAAGTTCTTGATATCGTACGCAGTTTGCTGTAAAACGAAGAAAATCCAACAAAGTTTGTTTCTTATGCCATTCCATATTGTTCATAATTTTGAATTCACCAGGATTGCGAGAAAGTTTGAAATTAGGTAGGAATTGTTCCTCAAAGTTAGATTGCAATTTGAGAAACTGTTCCCGAAAGTGCTCAGAGTTGCTTGAGTATATTTCATTACCAAGTGAAACTCTCTGTTCTTTTTGACCAGTAGGGTCACCAATAAGCGATGTTGCTTCTCCAATCTATTGCAACAGTACTATCAATGTGTTTACAGATACGTACCAGGGCAATAACATTATTACCAGCTGCTTGTAGACGGAGTAATCCCATGAAAGCAACTAAGTTTCCCAATTGAAGACTATCTGCAGTGGGATCAAAGCCACAGTAGGCCTTCAATTCAGCATCCTTATCCAGGTCATCCAAATAGCCATCACTAAATATAAAAAAATGTAAATTCAATAACTACCTCATTTGAGGCAAAACATTTGCAAAGTAACCCCCAGATCTAAGGGAATTTAGAGAAGAAAAGCTGTGATATTTTGCTGATCTAGCAGAAAGTAATGATAGGTGCCTAGATACTCTAGAAATCAGATTCATCTACGAAACGTGGAATACGAATGTACGGTCTGCTTCGAACTGGGCGCTCTTACTAGCAAGAATAATTAATGTTAATTAATAGAACTATAAAGAAATTATTATTAAGAAAAAATAATTATTCTATTACAATTTGAATAGGTTTAATAAAATTGTAATAACAATAGAGTATTTATAAAAATTCTTAAACTATTTCAGTTTATAGTCAAGGTACTTTCTTCCAATTGGATCACCTTTTAGCCCGCGACCTTCGAGTTCCTCCTATTCCATGTTATTTATATTTATGTTTAAATGATTGGCATCGAATCCTTTAATAATTTTCGCGTTCTATACTTCAAAAATTTCGCTTATGAGCTACAATCCAATGATATTGACACTCTTTTGAAACGTCTCGGCGCTGTCAATACCCTAGTTTTTCCTTCCTGTAGTCCAAATGCTAAAGTATGCGTTTTGTGCTCGTTTTAATTTATTCAAATCTAGCATAGAGCCTTGGCAGAATTCAAAAGTAGTGAAGACTGCTGGAAGATTATTAAATCTTTGCATCAGCGCGAACTCTGTGGTGTCCGTTTGGCCATTGAGTTTGGCAACTATAACCATCGCAATCCCCCTTCTTCTATGTCAGTTCCTAGTAATGAGACAACTCCTGAAAGTCATAATTTCCCAAGGTGGATTGAAAAACTCACAACTTTGTCAGATAAATGGCTGCCAGGTCATTCACTACCAGATGTATTCTACTCGTACCCCACCGCTACAACTGAAATTCTCACTAATATTGTTAGATGTTTAGCATCAGTCCCCGCATTTTATGTACAAGTGAGTATATGCTACCTTCCAACCTTTTTACTATCACTTATTAATCTGTATTGATCTTTTTGCCTAGCTGTGACAATATTCCGGATCGTTGGTCCTTTTAATCTTCTCTGTTTATATGTATCCTTTCCACATTTGTAATTATTTAAGTTCATTGACTGCTTTGATAACCATGCTGTACTATTTTCCCTTAACTGCTTTTTCCTAGACTCTTCATTTGATGAACCGCCTAAATCTACCAGCCCCGTTTTGTGATTCGAATGAATTTCCCGGTTCACTGCTTGTTCTAACCAATGAGGAAGTCAAAATGTGCGGTGCTAAAGGTAAAGTTGAAGAAATGGAGGTTTCAAGCGGTTCGGAAAGTGAAATCAGTGATGGTGAGTCTATTCACTTCAAATCTTTCTTATTCCCACGTTGGTCCCTCATACGGGTTTATTCTGCTTTTCATTTGGTAGATTCTATTGGCGATCAAGTCAGAAGTCACCCATCATCTTTAGAACCAAAAGCCATTCGTAAACCCTCAAAATTGAAGTCTGGAATTCTGAAACTGCAGAAGAGAAGATTTGACTTCCGTGGTAAAGCTCTAAGGCCCACTCCTGTGGTTGCATTTAATTCTGAAAAGATGTCGAGTTCGCCAAAACCGGAGCTTTCGGATGAGCCCGTGTTCGAAAAGACCCAGTTGCGTTCCACTCCTCTTATTAAACTACAAATTAATGATGTCGCTCCTCCAACCAGTAATAGCCAAAGTGATGTAGATGCCCAAACTGAAGGCTTTGGTGTTTTTTCTACAGAAGAAAGGACTTCTAACCCTCAATCCATCGGTAGCTCTTTGATCTTATTTAGCATCATATTAATAACGGTGTATCCTTCTACATTAAAATAGTATTTATTTTAATAGTCTTACGGAAGTATATAGCTCTGAAAAATTAAATTTTTAAGAGGGGTGGGATTGAATATTTTTTATTCCGCCATACGTTTTGGGCTCAAATTCGGGAATTATTGTCGATATTTTCTTACTTCTCCAATGCGAGAAGCTAACTGTGCATGCCTAGTAACCGAGTTTAACCTGTGTCCCTGCCTACATTCGATTATTTATGATTTTATTGGTTTAGGCTCGTGTATATTTCTCCTCTGCCCAAGGTTGGTGTTGGAAAATACTCTAACCCATTGAATTAATGACTTACTGTGATCTTTTGGGTGTTCAGTAAGATAAACTTTCCGAATTTATATTTTTGCTTTGTTTCTTTTTGTTCTTTAGGAAAGTTGACTTGACTTGACTCTAGTAAGGCGGGTAGTGTTTAATTAAATCTCACGTACTAATTAGAAATCGCAAGGAAAAATCAAATAATAAGCAACTGTTCAATTATGAGAAAACTATTTTATCAGCTTGGTAACACCGAAGTTACCGGTAGATGCAACTAGCGCAACTTACAAGGAACTAGCAATCCACTGTTTTAGTTCGGCATTACAGCTCAATTATCATTAAGGATGCTATTTGTTTAAGTAATTTCTCTATGCTTTTTGATATTTTTATAGCATCTCCAGTCGAAGACAGATCCGCAATAATTCCATCAACCAGGTCTGAAGTTGTGGAGATAAGTAATGACGACGATGATGATGACGAGTTTCTCAAGAAACCACCTCCCCTTATGAGGGAAGAGTTGGCTGCTGGAAAAGTGCCCGATGATGAACTGAATTCCAACCCCGTCTTCGCAAAATCGCCTGGTCCGGGAGCGCCATCTTCCAGACTCTATGTAAAAAATCTTCACAAAAAGACTACTGACGATGATCTTTGGCTTGTGTTTGGCTCCTTTCATCGAGCCTACAGGCGGAGGGCAAAAGATGGACCGAATCAGTTCTCAATACAAATTCTCACTAGTGGACGCATGAGGGGTGCGTATCTTTTCTACTCTTAAGTATTGTTAGTAGCGTGAAATATGAGGTGTGTTTGCTTGATTTCCGCGTTGTGTTCCCGTTTCAGTTAACATGAAGACGAATGTTATGTTAATTTAGGTCTCTTAAATAAGAAACACCAAAATTTCATATGGCTCATTGCGTACAGCTTGCCTTTTCATTTCTACACTTTATTGGAAACTTGAAGTGTTGTTGACAAATGCCAAGTATTCTCTGTTCTTTGTTTGGATGGCATATCGTATTTATTATTTTTCACCAATCCAGTATTAACCTGTTGTGGTTATTTCATTTTTCCTCTCTGAAAAAACCACATCTGGTCATCTTTTTACTTGTATCAGTTAAATGCCGATGAAATTGCTTTCATTGTCAATAATTATTGATCAACTTATTCTACTTATGAACGATGTAAGTAAGCTAGTTTGTCTGCCGAAATTCGAGGCTTCTCAGAGGTCAAATGAATAAAGGTTGTATTAAATCGAGCTTTGGGTAAAGTGAAAATTGATCTGAGTTAAAATAACATTCTAATCTCACTACTAGTCAGCTTCCACTGCTCGCTATTTTCTCCATACTCATACCATCCCACACTCATGAATATTAGTAAGAAGTTTGACTTCAATTTGGTGTCCACACCAATCGGTGTGTATTGAGGAATATAGTCCTCTTGGCATCTTTTTTTGGCAGCCCTAAACATCTAAACCCGCGGTATTGGCAAATATGTGATGCCCTTCATGTCGTACTGATCAGAATACTTTTTTGCATTATCAAGATTGTATCAACTAAAGACCTGTGAGTTTGATTCGTTCATTCACTCCTGCGTGCTTCAGTATATTTGGTTTTAAAGGCATAATTTTCGGAAACGTATTGAGAATTTTGCCTGTTAATTACATCATTTTATTGCTTAGCCAATTATGCAACGATGAAGGTCGTGTAATTCATCTCAAATTTTTTTGCTGGTAAGTGAGGCGTTCAACATATAATTAAAGCTTGTTTTAAGATCCATTTTGGTAGGATTCATAATTTCAATATATTTATCCATTATCTCTTGTTGACTATCTCTTCTACTTACGTGAAAATCCCTTACCGTGCTTACTCTTGGTGTACTGTCTACTTATATTGCCTCAGTAGATATTGTTTAGCTATGTTGTAAAGTGGAGTTAAAATCAAGGAACTATAGCAAAAAATTGGTACATCCATTTATTTATACTTTGTATTTTTAAAATTGTTTGTTATTTTATTAATTTTAGGACAATTAAACTTATAATACCAATGCTTTAATATATTTGTTTTTAGTTTTGGAATATTCGGGAACTAGAACGATCATGAAGTATCTCCTGACCAAACCCTAAATTACCCCTTCAAATTTTCCGTTTTCGCTTCAGTTAACTTTTCTGAAACCTCTTAGATTGGTGATCATTTTGGTTATTGTACTAACCTCGGGTATGCATGTTACTACAAGCCAAGCGTATTCCTATCAGCTTTCTACAAATTATGTCCAAACTGCGAAATACCTAGATATGTTACTTAAATACCTTTGAGTAGTAATCCTTTGTCTTAGGATATCTTAATTTGGCTGCTATCCACAACTTGGTTACCCTGTAATATCCCTCCATATAAATTGTTCCTTCTCCTTTTCTCAAGAACTACATGAACAAATAGTTCTGGCAGTAGAAATGCAGTGTCAAGTTAATGTCGTCCTGGGTGTTTATTTTTAGTTCGATTTGAGCAATTATTAGTAATGTTGATGACGATGATGCTGTGAAGTGACATAATTGCTGCAACCGACCTTGACTTGCAGTGGTTCGATTATGCTCCTCATGGTGTGATTTCGATTTCTCTCTCTCTCTCTTTAAGGTTGAGGGGATAACTTTTTTCTGCCATCACGTATATGGTTTAACCTTCTTATGCCAATTGTCTCCATTTTTGGAGAAAATATCTTAGTCAATTACGGTGTGGGTTTTCATTTGAAAAAAAACAGGTTTAGAACATCTTAATGTATTCATATTTGGTCTCTTCTTCTGAACGATTGTTAAGTTTGGATTTGTCTATTTAGTGGAACTTTTTTGTCTTGATCATACAGTTCTTAATTCAATTCAACTAATTGGGCAAAGTAGGCTAGTTACTTCTCCACTATTGGTTCATTCCCTTCTCATCTGTTGGGGTTCTCTAGCACTATCTGTGCCTTCAGGAAGTATATTTGAGTATATTCCTTAAAATACATTCCTAGACTGTTCATGGTAGAAGTTCACGAGCCGTTGATTTTCGATTGAAACTTCACGTTTATGCTTTTTAAAAACATTTATGCTAACTTGCAGACCGATAAGTCTACCACATATCTGCTGTCTTATCGAACTAATTAGACTCTGTCTGATTGCTTATGGGGTTACGAAACTTCCCCTCTCTCCACCTTCAGTCATGCTTTTGCGTTCTTATCGCTCTCCGTATTTCATATTTATACTGAATAGGGAATTAAAAGTGCTATTAGTATTTGTATTTGAAAAGGGTGTTAGCTTTGTCTGTTAATTTCTATTTTGCATTGAGAGGGGGAAGTATAGCAGACTGCTGCCTATATGAAATTATTTCAGTAGAATTGAACCACCCTCCGGCCCCCC